TTTGGCCACGAGCAGCTGTGAGTAAATAGTGGCGCGCTCTGAGAACACACTGACTTGGCGTTTTCTGAGTGTCCGAAAAGCAGTGCAATGTGTCGGGGGGGTTAAGGCCTACAGATTTAAGCGATTGCGGGAAGCCCACTAAGCATGTCGCACAGCTGATCGCACGGAAAGCCAGAGCCAAAAACTGTGACCGCCCTTCTGATACTGCAGCTAGAACAAAAGATCTACCCAAAGTGTATCCGACAGTGCGCTCTTGAGCATAGGCAAGAACCTATCAGATTATCAGCAACTCGGACCTGCTCGAGCGAAGTCCTTTGTCTCCTGAACCAGAGAGTAATCCATCGGCCTGAGCTGCTCAGCCAGGAACTCTTACCTCTGAGGCCCAGCTAGAGATTCAGTCCCTGAGTTGCAGTGGACAATGCCTCAAGAGGTACACAACGAGAGCTGGACCGGGACCTCGTGTGGTAGCTGCAGGCCCATGATGTCACTCTTCCGTAGTTGACACCCAACTGCTGTTTTCGTGCCGTCAAGCTTGGAAAGGGTACTCAAGAGAGCAAGTTCTTGACCCCCAAGCTCCGCAAATGGCTGTTACACTGGGATTCAGCCCAGGGCAAAAACGTCCACATGGTTCGCAAAATCAGGGGTTTAGACACCATACAATGCGCAGCTTTCCGTCCTGTTCCGGGGGTATACAAGGGACCTCGCATCCAAATGCGGATGATGCGCAGTCCAGACACTCCGGGGGTTTTAGCCGTAGCCTCTGCTCAGGCATTGCAGCTCCTGCTCGCGCTGCTTCCTCAGAGAGAATGAGGAACTGGGGCGTGATTGATGGATGCAGCTTTCGTGTTCGTGCTCGGCTGGGCACATGTGGGCGCTTGTGCGTCTGCAGAGAGGGAAAGGGAGATAAGGACTGGTTTCGTGTTTTTGGGGTCATGTCCGACGTGACTTGATTGTTTGAGTGTCCATCCAATCGAAGAAGCTTTTTCTATAGAGGACATTGGACATGATTCCTGTTTTGCTACAAAGCACTCAAGTCGGGAACTGGGTGCCGACAGGGAGGGAGCCACTGACAAGCTGTTGCCTTCAGTGGGAGTGGCCAAGGGCCATCAGGATGAGAGGAAAATGGGCAACTGGAATAAAGCTAACAGGTCAAGACCGTATACTGTGTTGACCGTGTTGCTTGGAGTATGTTGGAGTGGTGCTGTCATAACGTCGTCATGGCTGCAGTCTCACATTTGGCCTAAAGAAGTACGGATGATGTTTGCAAAGCAGACTAGGAGATATGCAGTCCAAAGGGACCGGGCTTTGGGGGGTGGGGTCTGTTCCCCACTACGCTTTACTACTCCGGTCCTCACTTGAAGCCAATGGGATTGACACAAGACACATGAGGGCTCGGGATGTGGCCCTCAGCCCATGACAATGCGCAAGAACAAGGAGAGGCAGAGAGAAAAGCAAAGGGGGTGTAGTTTAACCTCACAGCCCAACAAGGGCTGGGCATTGAAGCCCGGAGAACTTACGTTCTCCTCCATAGCCCGCACGAAAGAAAGAAAGAAAAGCAAAACAGCGCAAAGAACCGCAACCAAAAGCAAAGCAATGAAAACAACGCAAATCTACGCAATGCGACCAGAAGCGACGCAAGGCAACGCGAGGCAGCGAACGTCTACACTGGCAAAGCAAGACAAAGCTGAGCAACGCCAGGTAAGACAAGGCAAGGCAATGCCAGGCGACGCAACGTAAAGCTAGGCAAGCAATGCCACGCCGAGCAATGCAAGGTCACATGAGCTCACGCAAGGGAAGGCAACGCGGGGAAGCTTATGCGACTTGGCACGATGCGAGGCAGGGCAACGCAACGAAAGCCGAGGCAGGGCAATCAAGGCAAGGCAACGTAATGCAAAGCAAAGGAACACAACGCAAAAGCCAAGCCCATCCAAGCCACTCCGTGCAATGCCGAGCACGGCAGAAGCAAGCCAAAGGCAAAGCAAAGCAGAGGATGGTGAGAGGTCTCTGAGTTCTTTGCAAAAAACCCAATGTGTAGGTACCAGCCTAAGAGCCAACCATGTACTATTACTTCGCCTTTACATTCCGCCCTATTCTGTCAAACAACTGCACTGCTATGAGTTCCACGTCCTTCGGCTAGGATGGCAGATAGCGGGGGCACGGGTGGACAGATAGGCTTTGGAACGCATAAAATCTTAGTGCAACTGAAATTAAGAAACAGAGAAGGAGTGAGGTCCATTCGTTTTTGGCAAAGTCATGTCAGGTGGAGTTGCACCGCTTGCGCCTGAAAGCAGTTGATTCCATCCAGCAGGCGATGGGGAATGAAACAGTTGCATTAGGTTGGGCTTCAAAAGCCTCAAGACTCAAGACTGTCAGGCCATGGCGTCTTTAAAGCTGACAGCTATGGACCGGGCGAATGGCCACGCTCTTGGACCAATGCAGTGCTTTGGAGCACTCAGACTGCCCCAACTGAGCTACAATTTCTAGAAGAGTCGGAGGCGCTAATGAAATGTTGCGACAATTTTTAACAACAACGCCTGAAAATGGCACGGCATTGGCCCCCGCAAGGCTGCGGAAGGGTTCGCGGAAGGTTTTTCTTGCAGAAGCTCTCGAGTAAGCTCAGGTCAAGATGAGACATGACTATGCATTCCTAACTTCTGCAAGATATTTGGATCTCCGAAATGCATCGCAGCTCAGGGAACAGAAGCTTTGTGGAAGTCCTGCGTAAGCGCCGGGTAGCATTTCTACCCGGTTAGGCTTTTGTTCTTGTAGGTCGACATTTTGGAAAGCATTTCCAATTTCAAAAAACTGGCTGCTTGTCTGTAGTGGATCGTACACTGATCGTACCCTGCGTGTTTTCCCAATCACAGTTCTGAACGCTGCAACCTTTAGTGCGAAGATTACTACACCTCTTGCTGAAGGGAACTGGAGGTTATTGCGGAAGGGCGTCGTGGAAGCATTGACGAGGTTGCTAAACAAATGCCCTGCATAAGAAAAGTTTCACTCCGCAGAGGGTTTGCGGTAGAATTTATTGGAACCAACCACTCTGAAGTTCATGTTAGAACCAAAACCATCGCTCAGTGATTGATTATGTGAGACCCGCGTGGAACCCAACAGCTGCAAATTATCATGTGCAGCAGCATAGGGCATGATCAACTCAAAGCAGCTTTTCGAGGCAAAGCCCTGCCGCTGGACGGCGCTTCAGGGATAGTTCAGGCATGGTGGAATTCCAGAGCAATGCACGATGACACCAAGATGTGTCACAAGGTCTAGTCTAATGCTTTGTGAGCTTTGTGAGTCCATTGGCAGAAGCTGATGTGCTTCGAGGCGATGATTTCCGAGATCGCTTCCTCTTCGGCCTGCGATGTGCTGCGCCCAGCCATTGCCTTGCTGCGCGGCGCAATGCAATCCAAAGAGACCACATAAAGGCCGAGGCTGCCAAGGGTCTCCGGGAAGACTTTGAGGGCCAGGCGTGAGTGAACTACGTGTGGTGGCTCCTCAACAACACCCCTTCGGCGCGGGGCAGGTGTCTGAGGCGCTCTCTCGAGAAGACTGGTACCAGAAATGGGGCACTGGTCTCAGTGATTTGCTTTTGAGCAACAGCTCCGCTGCTGTCATTGATTGGGTTTCTACGTCTTGCACAGCGAGATTCGTGTTGAGTCTTCCGCTTTGCCCTGGCAGGCGTTCACTACTTGCCATCCTTGATGTGTGCGCATTTGACGCAGCAGTGCCAGTGCCCAAGCTTGGGTGCTAGCATGCCAAAATATGAACAGCATGATGGATGGAAATGCGCACAGCAGTCGTTTGAGAATTGCGCCAGGTGTTGACACTGTAGCCATTCATGCCGTTCTGCCTTCATCGGGTGCAGAAGTGGAGCTGCGCCTGAGGCAACAATTTCAAGGACGCTGGCGTTCAGTGCTACGGCGGCGAGTTGTTTCAGAACCTTAGAGATGCAGGCAAGCACCCAAGCATCGCGCTTCTTCGAGCCTAAGCCTGCAGAACTCTTGCAAGTGCAAACAAGTTAGCCATCACTCGCCCTGCTGCAGCCGACGACGTGTTTCTGTCGCTGCCGCCACCGCAGCCGAAGCCCAGGCGAGTTGTCTGTAGTACTGCTTCTTGCATCGAAGATGTCACCGAGGCATTTTGATTATGTTCCGCACAAGTAGTTGTTTTACCTCACAGTCCGCCCTATCGAGACTCCTGTTTAAGTTTGAATCCAATTTGATTTGTCCCAGGGCGCTCACTTCGTATTCCATTTGATGTGTTTTCAGGGCGCAGGCTGCTCCGACAGCCAACATCGTGCGGTGTCCTCAAAGATGCAAGATGTGCACTGAAGGACAATTCCGCCAGTTTTGCTATAGTGTAGCTGAGGGACCACAGAAGTCTTCTAAGGGATGCCCGGACAGCACCTGCTGCACCAGTCGACATGCACGCGTAGTGACCTGAGATTGTGCTGCTAATCGCCGATCTTTTCCGAGGTTGCCAATCCTGAGCTAGATGTTGTGGCACCTTGAGGTAGAGTGGAGTTTTGAAGTAAGACACCTGTCGTAGCAGCGGGCTTTCCCCAATGGGAAGAGGCAACCGGATTGCTATAGGCAGACCAAGGTGCAGTGCGTAGGCATTAGCATCAACGCCGGCTGAGGTTCCACGACCCCTACGGCGGATAGCAAGCTGAGTGCTGATTTGTAGGCATTCGACTGTTCCAGTATCCCATTGCTCAGTGTTGAGTAGAACAGTCCGCTTCCTCAACACTTGCTGATACTTGCCGAAACGAGGGTGCACCAAAAGACCATCTGTTTGGCAGATCCCTCTATTATGTCATTACGCAGCATGCCTTCGCTTGCATGATCTAGTTCAACTTAGCATTGTCATGTCGTGCTTTAGAGTCTTACAGCCTTGCTGGTACAGTCGGCGTGGGCACAAGACTGGAAAACAATGCCTTCAGTAGAGCGCAGCAGATGCCGTTCCGTGTTTATGATTCCCCCGAATCTTTGCCGGTACAGGTATTCCTCGTTGAGCGCATCGATGCAGACAGCTTTGCGTCTCAGGAGATGCACGCTCACTGCAGCAAGAGAGTGCCCGCACCAGCTTGCGCGTTTGTTGCACTGACGATGACAGAAATCGCCCGCAGATGATGCTGACAAATGCTGGCATTTTCATTTCACCTGTGGCCCGATGTGCCAGGATCTAGGTTGACGTTAGATCTGGCGATTACATTTCTTGCAACTCATGCCGCCGGCCACGAAACGACGAATTCGCGATTGCACTGGAGCAAGGACACTTTTGGCTGTTGCCAAGCGCCGCCCTCGCGTCGAACGATCGTCTGCACCTCCCAACAGACTGTGCAGGCAGTGTGGCAGTTTCGTGATCCATCGAAACAAATGGTGAAACAAAACCTGTTGACTCGTAGACTCGTCGTCATCACATTAACTACAGCTCCAGGAGCGCTGCCAGCATTCAAAAAGAACTGGTTTCGGCTTTGACTCAGCTTGCAAGGCCTGCAGGGGCATGCCAAAACATGCCGAACGCAGCAGCAGTCATCTTGTGAGCTTCGAGAGCGACGATGCCCTTACAGTTTCCTCATTGTTCTCCTGACATCTGGGGCACCGGTAAAGCAAACGCACCTGCAAGTGTGATCATGGTTTGCTACAGAGTGCGGGCAGCGCTGCGCTAGTCAGCTGGCTTTGGATTACGCGCCCACCAAAGACGTCATGCATGCGCGGACGCTGCAGCGTGGTGTACCTGGCACGCGTCCTATTCGCTGGGTTTTGTTTTTTGGCAGGCTTGACAGATGATGTCGGCTCAGCTAGCTACTCCCCCCCCCCCCCTTCGCAATTCTTGCGTTTAGGGAGAGGGAGGAGATTTCGTCTCCTGACCATCAAACATGCTCCCAGAGGTCGGAATATGCTGAAGAGAATTGTTTCTGGCACACCTGACTTCTTCTTGTTTTGTTTTGAAGGACAAGATGCGGCACATGAATGCCGTATGCTTCCTTAGGCACGTGCGGAGTCTCACGCAGCAATTCTTTAAAAGTTTGTCCGTCAATCTGCAGACCTCCCAGCTGCAACGCCTGCACATGAGCATCTGCCTGCAGACCGACCAACAAGAATTTTCTGAAGCTCTCCCAAGAGCTGAAGAATCCAAAATACAACGAGGACTGCTTGCTTATGCTGTGAGCGTCACGGCACATGGAACAACCTCTCGCAGACATTCACTGCAGTACCACCTCTTCTTTACCAACGTCGTCCCACACATGCGACTCGAACCGCTTGCATGCTGCGACGAGTATGAGGTCGTGAAGCAGGTGCGCAGCTGCAGATGGATTGTTGGCTTTGAGTTGAGAGACTAGACTGACTAGACAAGTAAGAGCTCTTGTCTAGTGTGGAAGGTGCAAGAGTTTTTTGCGGACGTTTACGCGGCAAGATGCTGAGATGACCGGACCTGTGAATTGACATGCAGGGCAGGGCCAGGAGAGAGAGAGAGAGTTTGTAGCTAATATTCGTTGTCAGGGGTTTGCTGGCTGCTTGGAATAATATTGGCTTGAAGCGGTCCACGGTATAGCGCTCCAGTTCGGTTTAATTATGATCTAGCACAAGAGGAGGCATGGAGGCTGCTTGCTTGACAATCCCCTCTGAAGGTCAACCATGACCTCTTCTCCTTGAATCTACAGTCCACGGTCCGGCTTACAGAGGACAGATGAATGCTTCTATGACCGGAGTCAGAAAAGGCACATCATGTTATGCTGTTGCAGAGGGCCTGCATGTGTGGATGGTATTTGTTTCACAGCCTTGTTGCCTGCACAAAGTGCCGTGAGGACCAGGGACGGTGGACTTCGTATGAGGAGAGCATCTTTGAAAGGATAATCGAGGTGCTTATTTGTTCGCTTCATGATCTGAGCTGTAGTCACTATAGTCTAAACTAGGAAGTATTGTATAAGGGTTACAACATTATAAGGGGGGATACGAGGAGTTTAGACTATAGCTCATATGTCGTGCCTGTGCTTCATGAAGACCTGTCTCAATCTCTCTAGACTTGGGGTGCAGTGACGCTCCCCTTGTCAGGGACTACTGGCAACCTGCTTGACATTGCGGATGCTACCTGCAATCCGTTACACAGATTCGCCAGGCACCAAGGAGGGAGACTTCCTGTTGGCCGTGACGACTGAAAGCGTGTTGCAGTTTGCGTTACGCATGCTGAAGGGAAATCTGCTAGCTGATGCAGAAAGCTCCCTTGAATTCCATTCGTGGAGCCGCCCAGCCCGAGACTGATGAACGAAGCTAAGGTGTGATCTTACCCGACAGATCGCGCACAGACTTCAGGCATGCCTGCTAAGCTAGAAAGGCATGACCTGTAGCGCCGTGTCATTCCACAAATCCTTGTCCAATCCATGTTGCATTTCAAATTTCGAAGTCCTCGAAAAACAATGATTAGCATTGATTGGCGTTGGCTTTCGGCCAGACCCGCATCCACGAAGAGCAGAGCCTCTTTGAGACGATTGTGAAAGCCCAGAAAGGCGAAGCGACACCAGCTGCAGCCTCGTTCTTGCAGTGTGCAACAGGCTGCTCTCACAGGCTTTGACGTTCCAAACATGCTTATTCCAAAGGTCCTGCTGCTATTTGACCGCAGGCGCCTGGGAAATCCTGGCATCTTCAGTTTCAGTTGCCCCTGACATCCGCAACTCAAAATGCAAATCCTCAACTGTGCGATATTTACAAAACTTATTCAAGGACACTCAAAAATCATGTGTGTAGCTCGCTTATCAACTTGTAGTGCTGCAGAGTGGTCTTATCTGGTTAAATCTCCATGCAAGCCTTAAGCCTTAATCTGTCAGGAATGATCCTGTCACGCCTCTGCTGCAGCAGTGGACCTATCAGGCTGACAGCATCATGGGGCTCAACTCACGACAGATGCCAGTGACTGTGAAGCAAAGCCAGGCGATGGTTCACGAGCTCCTGGGTATGCACAACAACATCGTGGACCTCAAAAAGGCAACTGCTGTTGAACGAAGTCACAGCTGCAGCGCTACAAGGCACCTTCTGCATTCTGGGCAGGTTGCGAAGGATGCCAGGCCTGAGCTCGAGAGAATCGTCATGTCGCCGTTGCAGGAGCAACGTGCGGTAGCGCCTGGTTTCTGTTTGTTCGTCTCCCTCCTTGGCTGCAAGATTGTAAGGACGAGTTCTTTCTGACGAACTTGTACTCCAACTTTGGCGACTTGGGGCAAAACACCCGAAACCTGGCAAGGTTCTCAGACATGTCTCGTTTGCTTCTCTGCAGCGCTATTGCTCCTGCCCTGAGCTGTACTCCTGGGTGTTTGAGTCTGGCAAACAACAGCGACCCAAGGGTGGATGCTGCAGTAGTGAAGCCTGCAAGGTGGAGAAGTACCAGAAGGAGACTAAGAACACGGCGCGCATCGAGTCTATTGAGGACTTGTGAGCAGTGTATCTGCCACAAGCAAACTGCTTGAGTGCAGAAGTTGGTTGCAGAGGAGTTGAATTATGAAAGAGGTGTGATGGTGTGCATCATTTCAGGGCTCATCACCCAGTTGACTCTGTGAGCCTTGCAGCAAGACTCACAGGAAATGCAGCGTTTCGTGGATGAGTACCCAGAATTTCGACGCATGTCAGGCAGGTGCAGAAGCATCTCAAATCTGCGTCATGCTTTTGAATTGGGCACGCGGCCCTCTCAGGCAATGTTTCAAAGCATGTCAATGTTGTCAGCGAGCTGCAGCACCCTCGACCTTTGCATTGGGTGGATGCGACAGACTATGGTGGTGCTCGTAGCATGCCAAACTGCCGCGCTGAAGTCTGAAGGTCTCGAATCATTGACGCGTACGGCCTGCTGGAGGCGATCATACAGGGGGAGTGGGGATCTGCAGGGATGCGCTGAGAAGCAACACGCGTTAATGAAGTTGGCATTAGCTCTGGGCTCAAAGCAAGATGGTAAGACTTGCTCGTGCTGTGAACTGGCCATGGCCACTGAGCTGCAATTTCATCATGTGCAACGGAGGAGTGACAGGAGTGGTGAGAAACAGGCTAGGAGCACTTAAGCAGGTCGTTGAAGTGGCTTGAAAGCAGACAACCCTGGAACAAGGACCGCGTCAAGGGATGCCGGACCACGAAGCAGATTTTGAAGGCCGTTTGATCTGGCCGAGCACTTGCAGGCGATGCTGCCACGAGTCAGGTCGGATCACCCGAGCCTGTGGCAGCTGTTGGAGATACAGTATGTGTTCATGCAACTAGACACTTGGCCGACACAAGTAAGAGGTGACAGCTTTTAGCACAGGCGTGGAAGTGTGGAACCCTGTGTTCTAGCTGCCTTCGAAGCATCTGCCAGACCTTTTGCCTTCTGTACCCTTAATAGTCTGTTTCCATTGATGGTCCGCAGACCCAACACAACAGCTTGTTACAAGCTCAAACAGCCCTTCGGGTCCCGTGAGCTTTTGTAGCCTAGGTGCTGTCGCAGCAGACGGGCGGAAGTTCTGGAGCTCCAAGGAGTCAGCCATTGGTACTCGGTTAAGTTTACTGTGAAGAGCGAAGCAACCTTCACGAAGTGCTTCTGGGTACCAGGACACGAGACGGGCCATCACGTACGAGGTGCTGCGTGCTAGCAGTCTTTGCTCAGGGATGGGACAGCTAGCAACGCTTGGATGCTGTCTCAAATCTCTTGCTTCCGGACCTTAGTTCGATTTAAGCCTTCTCGCGCTCTTGACGCATTCTGCTATCCATGCTATCCTATCGTCTGAGCTTGGCTCAGTAAACCAGTCTTCGCTGAAGCATGTCGCGCCAGCAGTTCCTCGCCAGGTTGGTCGCGGTCTTGTTTTTCGTGGCTGGGACCTGGGCTCCGTTGGTATGACCCCAGGTACGGGCCAAGGAATGTAACAGCTCCCCACCCACATGTAGCTTTGTGATGGTATGTTGTTGGGTGTCAGATAGGGTTCGAGATTTCAAAGTTGTACTTCAGTGCATCGCGAGCATCTACCTTGGTCAGCAGGGAGATGGATGGCAGTGATGTACGTATGAAGGTATCGGCTTCATGGCTTCCTGTTGATGACATTTGCTCTCAGCCAGGTGAGCATCGCCGCTTGGTGGTACCCCCGACAGATGCCTATGGAGACAAAGAGTTTGCGGCGTGGGGTGGCAAAGCTGCGTATAGCTGCATGCAACATGTGCTTTGCACTGTTGATGTGGGGAAGTAGGCGCAGTATCTTTGGCAGTGTAGCCGCACCTGCCACCGGTCAAGTGGCCTTGAGCAGCATGAGGTCTCCCCAGTGACACGACGTTGGAGGTGACTCTTGAGTGTTTGGAAGTACGGAAAGTGTCCAGACCGGTGGAGCAACCGCAACAGAAGCCGTCTGCAGAGATGGGTGGCTCTGAAGCTCACAGTGGCCAAGGCAGTCCTTGAGATCGTGGAAAGCCTGAACAGCGGCTCTGAAAGTGTTTTGCGCCGCTGAACGACAAGCAGCGAGCAGAAGTGGAGGCCGGCTGAAGATGGACTCGCGGCGCCGCCGGAATGCGTTGCCCTGCACGCCTGATGATTGTGCCACAGATGCTTCCAAGACGACTTTGTACGTACTCGCGGGCGGGTTCAAGGGCAAAGGCGCTTGAAGCAAGCGGCACAGCCTTGGGCAGGAGGGCCGACTGCTGTGCACCAGCTGGCTGAGCGAGTTGACACTGCGTTTGCAACCAGCAATCGAAAAGCGGTGCTGATAATCACAGCAGCTGTTGCTGGACAAGGCTTGTGCAATTTGGGCAAGTTGCATCTTTCTGTCTCCTTCTCTTGTCAAGCACGAGGCCTCTCAGTTGGAACAGGAGCTGGCTTGTTCGGAGAATCAGAAGGCAAGACCACAGCACCGTGTGAGGATATCAGAAGTTGCTTTGGTTCAGTGCTTCGCGTGGGGGATTAAGTCAAAGAGCGGCCAGGAGCATTACAAGTCCCTGGTGGATCTGTTGAAGATGGCAAAGATCACACCGATGGCGCGAGCTGCATGTCGACCATGTTTGACTATAAAGAGCTTCGTGTAAGTGTGCTGTGCAGCGACCATGGCTTCTGACAGAGTGCGTATCACTTGCATGTTGGGTGCAGGAAGGCCTTCGGCTCGTGCTGCTCTTTGCGCTGAGGTGCTGCGGGCCGGGGGTGGTTTGCCGGATCTGGGCGACGTGATGCATGATAGAGATTGCAAGAGGTGTTTTGTGCTGACCTTCTTCTGGCCTAGCATGCCGAGCAAAGCGTGTGCTGGGACCACTCGTAGCTGAATTTTAGCTGCAGGTACGAGCATGAGTACAACTCGATTTCGCAGCTTAAAGCATGGATCTTACAATCTCGAGAGGGCTTGTGAGTATGCTCACAATGTTTCTTGTGCTGTCAATCCTCGTTAGTCAAAGCATTGTTTTGAGGAGCAGCTGCGGCAGAAAGGAGTTGGCGATGACCAGATAGGCAAGGTGATTCTCCATCGGAAATGCAAACGAGCCTGATGTGGGATTCCTGGTTTTGCAAAGGCCTCGTAGACCAGCTGCTTCGTTACGCAGGATCGTGGTGCCCTTACAAGAAGTTCGGTTTCGTGCGCTAGGGCTGTGGATGAACAACATAACTAGGCACGCTTCACCGCCATGTCTGCACGATCCCCAAGTCCTGCCATCTCGGCACTTCTGCAACTGAGGCAGGTGCGCAACAGCGATTTGTTTCAGAACAAGAGCTTCTTGCAATTCGTGGGACACTTAAAGTCGCTGGCTGTGATACCATCAATGACTTCTCGGTGCAAGTACCGCGCAGACGTTCAAGCTGCTCAGGCAAAAAATGTTGTCACCAGTAGCTTCAAGGGTGTGGAGAACGCCGGGGTCCCATTAAGGATGACTACAGGTGCCTGTGGCATCTATGAGCTTGAGAAAGCTCCCGTACCCGCCAACAGCCACCAGCAATCCGGCGCACAATCCAGCAAGGTCTATACGCAGCACAAGAGCCACCTTGCCAGCGTAGTCAGCTCACTGGCGAAGGGCCAGCTGAAAGAGGTCTCGGATTTGATTATGGGATCCAGCTGCCTTGTTTTTGTTTTGCGACCTTTCCCTGCGCAGACCAGCTACCCGTACATGCAGGGAAAGGGCAGCAGCTGGACTCTTAGCAGCCTCCTACTCTGTTCCAGTCCATGCTTGGCAGAACAGCCCGTGGACTCGACAAGCTGCAGGGTAGTACTGCCGATGTTACTTCTGGTGTGCACTGCTGAGGTGTGGCTCCAGCGCGGGAGCCGCCACGACGCTGTGTGGTATTTGTCGTGGGAGGCTGCACCTACGAGGAGGCTGCGGTGACCGACTGCTGACAGCTGGCTTTCATGCGGAGTGAGAAGAAGCTGTTCAAACTTCCAGGGCTCAGCTCACCACGGTTTCAAAGCCCCGCAGGCGAGAGACATTGCCGAGTTGAATCGCACCTTGGACGGCTGCAGGTGCGTGTGTCTTGCAACGCTCACGTTTGCGCTACTTGGACAATGGACGCTGTGCTTTATGTACAAAAGCATTACTGCGCTTGCATAGGCTCAGGCCGTCCGAAGACCGGATGGCTTGCCGAGCTACTCCGGGTGACTAAAGCAATTGCCCACAACCCCACTGGTGGTGCCTCATTGGAACAAACAATTGGAGTGGCAATGGATGGTGCGTGCTATTTCTAGAAGATCATGAGACAAACCCTCTTAGAAAGAAGTCATTGCCCCGTGCGAGCGAACATGTGGCCTACCATGTGCCCAAACCTGAGCTTTGTTGTCAGCTTGCCTTGGCGGACTTGCCAACTGCTACGAGGAGCTAAAAAATGGAGACAGGAAGAAAATAGAAAGAAGGGAAGGTCAAGCATTGCACCTCCATTATAGCCATCCCACAAACCCTAATGACAAGACGTTCATGGGATTTCTCTGCGCCGAGGACCCAAGCATGGTGACGCAGCGGCCTCGGCCAATGCTCATGCCAGGTTCTCCATGCTTCAGATGCGGGGAGCGTAATTTAGCTGCATGGCGGGGCCTCGGCTAGGGTGCTCCTAGAAAGTGCTGAAAGGCATGACACCGGACAGACACTGCATGTGGTGACGGAGAGGGGAAAGGATGCTTTCATGTTGCTTCGAACAAAGATGCTGCCAAGCTTCCTTGGTTGGGAAGCCCTATAGGAAAGAGGAAAGCAGCAAACCTTGGGAATTCTCGGGTTCTGAGATGTGCCTGGAGGCCGTGCTGTATACATGCAGACTGGAACGTGGGTTTGTGGTGAGGCCATGGCTCGATGCCAGACCAGACCCGCCTGACTTACCTGCCAACGAGGCCGCGTGATTGCACAGTATGCATGTATGGATGAATGTGTGTATGCATGAGTCTTCTCAGCTGATATGCAAATGTCAGTGGAGACAAAAGATCGGTCTCAATTGCTGCGTTGGGAAATGCAGGAGCTAGCTTCGAACTGTACTTCATTTCCAAAGTGTTTCTTGGGTGCTAGTATCACAGACAGGGACAAAGCTTCGGGATACCAGGTGACACTTACCGCGGCCATCGACGTCCGATGTCTTGACGACTACTGTGATCATGTGGTGGCCTTATCTGATCTGAAGCGCTGGTTTGCTAGCCTGCTGCACTGCCATCAGCCCGACTTGTTGGCTGCCGTTGAGGTTGCATTTCTTTTCACCTGGTTCACCGACACGGGCCAGCTGCTTGAACTTGAGATTGCAGATAAGCTGGGCTTTCATCACTGCTGCCCTGTCTTTGTGAGGGACTGTCATGGCCTGCTCAGTGCTGTCTGTTAGAGGGGCCGCCAAGGAGTTGTGTGCGGTTTGCGGTCTGTGATGCTCTGTAATGTGGCTGTCCTACTTGTGCATACATTAGCCAGCAAGAACTGGACTTGCACATGACTGCAGAAGTTTTAAAGCAATAAATAAAGTACATGTCTACATAAATATATATATATATGTATATGTATACACATACTTATGTAGGAGCTGCGAGCTGAAGATGAAGGCTATGACTTCGGGCGCCATTTTGCACAAAGGACACGAACTAGAAACGATCCCTGCTCTGGAGCCCGACGTGCTTCGAGAGCCATGACGGCGCGGGCCAGCCGCAGCCGTATCTGTGCCTCTGCAGCAGCTGTGGCTTTGGGCTTGACCATGGCGATGGTTGCACAGGTTGCACAAAGATGCTTCCTCAATCCTACGCCTCCTATGCCCAAGCATGTAGATGCAGCTCTCACGGTCTTCGCGACAGAGACCGAGTTTGCCAGTAGCGCGCTGCTTGCTGGCTCGGAAGTCCTGCCACTGCGAGGCGAGGATCGCGATGTCAGAGTCGCGATGTACAACAAGAAACGTACCAAGCGAGACCGGAGCGAAGGATGGACGGTCAGACGCTCGTCCGGCTTTCAGCACCTTTTCTGTTAAAGTATGCCTGGGAACCTGTTACAGTCCGCAAACAGTCGGGAAGATAAATGTCCGAACTTGCAAGCCAGGAAAGAAATTCCGCTCTTGTTCCTTATTGGCGCGTGCATCAACGGTAAAAGGCCGAAAGATCCTGAAGAAGCGCATGTGGCGAGGGAAGAAGGTTCTGGCACCAGGCGATTACTGCAACTACAAGATGCAACGTGTGAAGAACCTGAGATAGGTGTGAATCAGATTTGAAGTACTTCAAGGCTTTTGCAGCCTACAAGCAGTTGCTTGCCTTCGCACTTGTCTCCAGCCAAGGGGGCAGAACAGAGCGAGCCGTAAAATCGTGCCTTTCACGAATCGCAGACATTTGCATGCTTAGGGCACGCCAATCGCATACTCGTTAGTCGCGTATGCATCTGTAAGCTGTTTGCAACTGCAAGAGGTTGTAAGCCATAGAATCCACAATCTGCGGCTGCGATGGCCAAGGTGAACTCACACAGAGTGTGAGCACAGGGCCTGCGTCGGGCGAAATCTGGCAGAAGGCTTTGCATGAGCGTCAGCTCATGAGATCATTCCGCGTTGGTGCCTTGCAAGCTGCAGAGAGCGCGGCAATGATGATGGCTGTGAGGTTGGCGAACCGGAGCCTGTGGAGCCAACACCAAAACCAGAGGCATTCCTATCCCAGAAGGCGCAACTCTTGCATTGCTCGACATATGTGAGCTGCGGAGCAGGAGCCTGAAGCAAATGCGGACACTGAAGACAAACAGGGAGCCGAAGAATCAAAGGAGGCAGAGGAGCAGCCTCTGCCAGATGTGAGCTACGATGCGTGCACATGTTGGCACAGGCTGACTTGATATGTACACGTTGCCAACCAAGCTTGCTCAGGAGGAGCGCCAGGCTTTCATCGAGTCTCGGCGTTTCGAAAGTGCCTCACCGACAATGAGGACTACAGATGGCTGAGTCGACAGTAGCATACATAAAGCGAGAAACTCATTCGAGAGCTTTCGCCCTGTCGCAGCTCCACTTGCGCCTTCGTTCGAAGTTTGGCTGTCTGATTCTCAGTTACTGTTACTGTTGGCAGTCTGCGGGATGCTTGGTACACGTCAGTTGGACAGAACAGCATCCAAGCTGCCACTGGCAATTAGCCAAGTGCTAAAGTCTTGTTGACACTGTTTGAGTAGCTGACCGAAGACGTCTCAATCAATTGTCGCCGCCACGCGCCATTGCCCTGCTTCGTCAAACGTCTGTGTAGTTCTTTCAGGTGCAGGCACTTCGCGTACAGGCTCGTGCAGCAAGAATTGTGCAGATCTGTGGAGCGCTGAGCGTCAGAGCATTAAAGAGTTTTGCAAGTCATTGCCAGGCCTTCTTGCCAGATCCCGAAGCACCATTGCCCGAGCCAGGCCAAGCTTCCTCTGCTTCTCTGGTACTGGTAACCCCCAAGCATGGTGGTGGTCCAGGTATCGTTAGCAACGTAGATCAATGTAGGTTAATGTTGCTCAAAGCGGCAAAGCGGTTATCGGATTAATTATCAACGCTATGGCTGAGCCGCTGAGCCTGCCTTGCAGGCGCTCTGGCTGGCATTGGTTCTCCACCAACCTCAGCATCTGGGAAAAAGAAGCCCGACCCAAAAAAGGACCTTATCCCATCTTAGACAGTCAGTAGCAACGCTCATGTTGCAACCGGACATGATGTGTCTGCGGAAGCAGTCTGCGGCCGCTGGCAACTGCAGAGTAGAAATATGGACATCATTTCGCTGCGATTCAATGACAACCCGTTCTGCAAGACGTAGAGTTATGACAATCCGTGCATCCTTGTATCGGGATCGGACCTGTGGCCAATACTAACGTGGAAGGGCATACAGGGGATTGGGAGGATCCTCGTTTGCACCACGCAGACATGGAGGACCTCACAGAACCAAAGAACCACCGTAGGGAAAGGTTGTGCGAGGCAAAGGGGACAAGTTTGGAGTGTTTCTAACTACGCCAATCCGTCCAAGTCTTGAGCGCCTTCAGGACGCCAAAAAGAAGAAAGATCCCAAAGAGCCTGCGGCAACACAGGCTTGGCTCAACGTGTTTGCAAGAGGTGCGCAGATCCTGTTTCTGCTTTTAAAAAGACACCAGGAACCTGCTGAGTCCTCTGACGGTATTCCAGCTGGGTATGCTGGAGCCTTGGGCCTGTACTTGTGCCTGCAGTGAACAGTCCTTGCGTGTGCATAATCGATCAGATCAAACTTGACGTTCTCTTGCCACTGGCTCCGCTGATTGTGCAAAAGTGCGCTGAAGGAGCAGGCAGGCATTCGTAAGTACATTTTTAGCATTCAGCATGTCTTGTCGTGTGGACAAGTTCTATTGGAGGTTCTGTCATCTCCGAGGATGTGATGGTGGCTTGCCTGCAGACCAGCAGCTCACAGCTGACCCAACTTGCAGTGCACATGGAAAGCGCTGAGGTTCAGGTGCCATGTCAGCAAATCAAGGGCTTGCAGGCCTATTCAGCTTTGCTGTTTTGTTTTGACTCCGCCTCAGGTTGTTGTGGGACTTGAAGAACTTCACATACGATAGAAATTGTCGGCTGTTTTTTTCCCTGTGTGTTCCCCCTAGGCCCCTAGGGCCTGTGTGTCTCGTAATCCTATTCGGTTTTGTGAAGCACGCCATGGAGCATGTAGAGCTTGGGGCTTGGTTCGGGGTTTGAGCCTGGCAGCCTGGGGGACCTAGGCATTTTGAACGTGGCCTCTCACCTTGTAAGGTCTCTTTTTTTTGTCTTTCAAATTTCATTGGGCTCAAGCTTGCTGGCTCAGCAGTGGCCCCAGCAGCCATCCTAGCTCAAGGAGCGCAATTTCCTGCGAATCGGTATCTTGACAAGCGTTCAGTTTTTGCTTATCGAATGCTTGTTTACTGTTGTATACTGTGGTTCCGGTGTCCAGGACAGTTGCGGTCCATTATTCCGAGTCTGCATCGTGAAGCTTTCTGAGAAAAGCTGGCCAGGTATCCGCAACATGATGGCCGCCACTGCCGTTGCGTTGCTCCTCACAGCAGCGAGCACTGAAGGCGTCAACAATACGGCGAACGCTCCTTATCCAAAGGCAAACTATACCGACCTGGCCCACAATACTACTGCGAGCAAAGCCAAGGGTTTTCTAGCAGCTTCTGTTGAGGATGGCCAGTATTACTGTGATGTTGAATGCAAAAACCGTGGCTATG